TAGAGTTATAGGTGGCACCGCTCCTGGAAATGAATCAAGTCTCCCACTTGTACAATACTTTGTTCCTCTTCCTTTAAAACCCAAACATCTGGACAAATGTTTTCTGTCACTGGTGTCAGTTCTGTTAGCACCTCTGAATCTCTGTTTCAAAACATGTATATACACATTCTTCCAACATTCGGAGGGTCCCATTCTTAATTCACTGGTTGGTGACTTATTAACCACTTAGGACTTTTACATTTAAGGTACTGTTCTAAGCTCCAAGCGATGTCCCCAGCAGTGGATAGCACGGGCTATCTGGGGCGATAAAGTGAGTTCATATATTGGGATCCACAAAATGTAGGATGCCCCCAGGGTCTGGCCCGTGTCACAAATTTAAACCCAAGCTTGCTCTTATGGGAAATGCCCGTCAAGGAAACCTAGCACACACCAATCATAATCCTCTGTCTCAGCTTTAGGTAGCTTACCTTTCTCTGGAAAACAGGCCCTGCCAGTCTTGTAAGGAACACCCCCCCCCCCCCCCAGCCAATCATGCGTGTCTCTCAGTTGCCTCTTGTACCATCTACAAGGCTCGCTCTTGCCCCAAATCCCTTGGGGTCAGTGCTCCAGGGCTTGTGAGGCTGTGTATTCCCGGCCCCACCCCCCCACCCCCCACCCAACCCACGGATTGTTTTCCCTTAGGTAAAGGACATCAAGCTGTTGCTAAATAGTTTTACTTTCGTCACATGAAAGGGGGGACAGGGTACAGGAAAGACCGTCTCCATGTTAGATGTTGGTAAAAGCCAAACAAATTAACGAGAAAATATCAGGTATTGCTAATGCTACAGTAAACAGGGTAGTGTGACAGAGACAAAGGCATGATTTTAGACTGAGGCCTCACGAAAGGTCTCTCTGAAGTCACATTTACACTGAGATCAGGGTGACAGAGAGGGATGTTGACCATGAGTGACATCTGCCTATCGAATATGGGACCCTGCTCTTCCTAAGCCCTCAATCAATGTTCAACCCAAGTACTTATTATCTATAGGCCTTATTGCAAATGAATCACGCACAAGCTTAATTAAAGAATATAAAGTCAGGGGCGCCTGACTGGCTCAGTTAGGCATCTGACTCTTGATTTCGGCTCAGGTCACGATCTCGCAGCTTGTGGGTTCAAGCCCCCCATCAGGCTCTGTGCTGCCAGTGTGGAGCCTGCTTGGGATTCTCTCTCTGCCCCTATCCTGCTCACTCTTTCTCTTAAAATAAATAAATAAATAAATATTTAAAAAAAAAAAAGAATATAAAGTCAGATTAGTTTGAATTGCCATAGAATACCTATGTACACACAACGTTTCAGTGACATCTACTAACATTATGGACATTTACAGTGTGTTTTCAATTTTTTTTTTTTAACGTTTATTTATTTTTGAGACAGAGAGAGACAGAGCATGAATGGGGGAGGGTCAGAGAGAGAGGGAGACACAGAATCCGAAACAGGTTCCAGGCTCTGAGCAGTCAGCACAGAGCCTGAAGCGGGGCTTGAACTCACGGACTGAGAGATCACGACCTGAGCCGAAGTCGGACGCTTAACCGACTGAGCCACCCAGGCGCCCCTACAGTGTGTTTTCAAGGGGGAAAAAAGACCCAGCCTTCATGTTATATTTTATGATATACGTATCTAAACCATTTATTTGCATGTAATTTAACTATGTTAATAAAAATTATCACCTCACCTCAGGGACTGTTAAATCCACGCTGAGGATGAACATTTCTTCCTATAAGGTGCTACTCTACCCTACTACCTTCTACGCTCAGAAGCCCAGACCTGGCTAAAAAATCCAGGCTGCTGGGAGCAAGACCTCCACTTGGATTGAACTATGTTCATGCGTTCACGTTCAAGCCTACTGATGTTCTGAATATTTCCAGTATTTGTAGTTGCTACTTTTTAATCAACACAGATTCTGATGGGACACTAAAAATTACACGTTTACCATTCCCAATCCTAGGACAAAAATGACAAAATCTGCTAACATTAGAAGAAACAAGCCTTTCCCACACAGACAGAAATGAACATAACGGGCAAGATGTTAAACGTGGAAACTCCGGCCTGACACGCTGTATAATTAACAATGTTCTAAAAGGTACGTGGAAAGGTGCACTCTGCCGAGATGGGAAATATGAATCAAAAAGCAACTGTGAAGGCATAAAACGACACGTGCTCATTTTAAACAATCTTCCATCACGAAGGTCAAAGCAGGAAAAGGCGTTGCCTTAAACATGATTATGTTACTATCTATACTAACCGTTAATTTTTGGGTGCTATGCTCGTGCATGTGCGCACACACACACACACACACACACAGTTACACATGTGCATTGGGGCTCCTTTTATAAATGACTTCCTTGGAGTTAAAAGATACTTAAAATTATAGAGAATTATACAGACTTATACAAAATCATACAGAAAACTTCGCACCTTTATTTTGATGGAATAAAAACAAAAACGGTAACGGGAAATTGAGATACCGTAGCTACAATTCAGTTCTTCTCTGTCAATCAAGAAGATACACTACAGGAAATTAAAGCACAGGCAAGGCTATTCATGCTTTAATCTACGTCACTCAAATAAACCTGCAAATCAAGGAGATTTTGAAAAGGATTTTCAATGACTTTCAGTGAAAACATTCTTTATTGGTAAAGCAGACACTTAAACTCTTTGATTACATATGTCATGCAAACCAACTGCCCTCACACGTGGTTGTCTAACAGCTCGATGTAATGTCATCTTTTGGGGGGGTGATGATAAATCCTACAGGTTACATGGACTCCAGTAGTAAAAAGAATTCGGGGAAATGACTCTAAGGAAGCAAAACGCCATGTAGTACGTGTGAGAGTGTTGTTCTGAATGCCCAATTCTCCCTCCTAACTTCTACATTGTCGAAGACTATCATATATAAAGATGGCAGTGGCTTTTGTGTGTGCGTCTACAGGCACGCGACCTACGCGATAAAAAGGAACTGCAGGAATAACATTTCAAACAATTTTACAGGGTTTTGTGGATCCAAAATATGGCAATGCCCTTTAATATAAAATGTCCATTTGTTCCAACAGATGACTTCCGGAGGAAGATGATTTTGCTCCTGTGACACCATAGCTCATTCCTGGTAAGCGTTTTAGCCTGCCATCTGTTCACAGATTCTCCAAAGCGGTTATCAGTCAGTGGAGAGGAGCATGGCTTCCTTTGCTCTGAGAAGACTCAGGAATGACGTCACTGTGCCTCGTGACACTGAGAACAAGCTTCTCTGTGGAGGTGAGATAACACTTCCATCCGTGGAACTTCTGCCAGCCCTGCCAGGGGGAAGCCCTCTGCCAGGGGTCAGTTCACCTCCTCGAAAATGACCAGAGCACCCGAGGCAGGTGGATCCCAGGTCTCCTACTGGCGCATTCACGTCACGTGGCAGTGAGTAGGCATAGTGCTTTCCCAGACACCTGGAAACGGGGCGCCGCTGGAACAAATACCTAGAAATGAGGACGGAGCTTTGCAATCGGGCAGTGGGTAGAGGCTGGAAGAGCTTTCAGGAGCATGACAGAAAGAGGCAAGATGGCCCCGAGTGCCGTTGGCGAGCGGATCTACGCATGTTAATGCTCATGAGGGCACGAAGGAGGTAAAGGGCAGGGTAGAGAACACCTAAACTGCCGTGGAGATTACGTAAACCGTCATAAACAGACTGGTAGAGGAAATACGGGCATTAAAGGTGCTGCCAGTGAGGGCTCCTAGGAGGTGAGGAACATGCTGTTGGAAACCGAAGGAAAAGATTCTGGTTCGAGAGGGGCAAAAAGCTTAGCAACATGGGGTCAGCGGCTGTGTGGAAAGCATTAGTTGCGAGGGATACACCGAAGACACTTGTTTGGTTGAAGAGATTTCCAAGCAGAGTGGGCCAGATGCGGCCTGCTTTCTTCTCGCCAGTTACAGTAAGAGGTGAGAGGAGCCAGATAAACTGAGGACATACGTGTTAAAGAAAACAGGACTCAAAAATGACTTGCAGATTCTCCGTCTACCGAAATGACAAAGGGCCTTAAGAGATTCCCTGTCGGGAAAGACGGCTCAGGGGAAAGAGGAGGGCGCAGCTATGGAACCTTTTGCTAACACCTGAGGAAGGCCTGAATTTTTTTTGTCACACTATGGGTTCTTTGAAGAGATTAAGGGTGTGACCCATCGGTCCTCTCGCCTTCTCAGAAAAGCCACAAAGGGAGACGTGATCAGCTAGGAATGCTCTGTGCAGGGGCCTCTGGTCTACTGGACCGAACCCTCGTAACACGCACGCAAGATCCCCAAGTTTCTTCGGATGTTATACGGGCGGCTACTGCTCTCTTACGTTGAAATGGATGGAGATGTACGAAGTGAAAGACGGTCAGACTTCCCACAATTCCACAGGTAAGAAACAAGCCGATAAAACTGCTCAGGTGCCACCTTTCACAAGAAAGGAAAGACGGCTCTGGGAGGACACCACGAGCCTAGACGGTGCTGTGGGCCACAGAAGGCTGCACCCGGGATTTGAGACCTAATGGCGTGCGCATGGCTCATTTCTAAATTGCCTGGCATGGGTGGCTCTTTTTCTCATTTGCCTGAACAGGAAAGAGGCCTATAAACCCTATTGTCTGCCTGTCCCACCATTCTATTTGGGAGCGGATAACGGTTTTTCTAGGTTCACAGGTGCACAGGTGGAGAGGACTGTGTCCCAGGAATCATGCCCAGACCCTCACTCACACTTGATTTAGAGGATTTCAAATGAGGCTTGGGACTTCCGAACCGGTGGGATCCAGGTAAGACTTTGCAGTCTAAGTCGATGCTGGAATGGGCTGACACTTTCGAGCATCTTTGGAAGGGGTGACTCTCTGTGGGATGCATATGGATCCTCGAAGCAGGAGTGGGCCGTGGTAGTCAGGACGGCCCCCAAAACGTCCCTGTTCCCATCACCGTACCCATAAATGTGCTACCTTACGTGGGAAAAGGATTTTTGCAGATGTGGTTAAGTTAAGCAACTCGAGATGAGACTTTTCTGGTAATTACGCTAGGTAAACCAAAGGTAGTCACAAGGGTCCTTGTAAGAGGAAAAGAGGAGAAATTAAAGTCGGTAGTAAAGGACGAAGGACAGAAGCAGGCATTGGCGGGACGCGGCCAGAGTGAGGGATGCCAGCAGCCTCGGAAGAGGCAGAGAACAGACTCGCCCCTGGAGCCTCCAGAGGGAAGCTGTGATGTGCCACTTCGTGTGGGAAAAGGGACTCTTTAAAGATGCGGCTAAGGTTACCACAGACCTTATAAGGGGGGAGATAATCCGGAATTATCTGGTGGGCCCAATCCAATCACATGAGTCCTTAAAAGCAGAGAACCCTTCCCGGTTGTTGTTAACGAGATGTAATTAACGACAGAGAAGGGTCAGAGAGGCAGTATTCCTGGCTCTGAAGATGTAAAAAGGGGGCCATAGGCCAAGGAAGGCAGGTGGCCTCTAGAAGCTGGAACATAAGGAAAAGGTTCCCCTTTAGAGCCTCTCAAAAGGAACACAGCCTTGTCAATGCCTTATTTTAGCCAGTGAGACCCATGGTGGACGTCCAACCTACAGAATGCAAGATCATAAATCTGTGCTATTTGAAGCCACTAAGTTTGTAGTCATTTGTTACAGCAGCCACAGAAAACGAACCAGGACTGGTGACCAAAGATGAAATGGTATCTGGGAAGAAGAAAAAGCTTTTCTATCATTCCTGATGTAGCCTACCTCATTCGGGAAGTAGCTGGCTTTGGCAGAAATGCAAATATTTATGCTGGTAGTTCTTTAGATCCAGTCTGGCTGACGGAATTTACATTTCTGAATTTGTACACTCATTGTGCCCTGGAGTAGAATACATTCTGGGTTGAACACTTAGAACAGTGTTCAGTATATATAGTGGGTCCCCTAGAAAAATGTGTTGAATAAATAAATGAATGAGATCAAGACAGGCTCTGGGAGGGATTGTAATTACTCTAAAGTGCTGTTTAACAGATCTTCTCAAGAACTGCTGGCCTTTATGTCTTTGCTTCTGGTTTATGATGGTCATAGTTCTGCAAAATACAAGGCCAAACTGTATTTTTTGACACAGTAATATAGCTAAATCAGTAAAAAGGATGCGTACAATCTTAATAGGAGGAATAATTATATGATCAACGTATTTCAAAATCAGAACACATACTTTTCAGTACATGACACAGAAAAAATTTCAAACTATTTGATCACAAGATTTCTTGATGGCTGTTGCTCAATGCAGCAACTTTAGTGCAAATTTTACCAAACGCATTTATCAAAATGGGATTTTGTTCATTTTCTCTGCAAACAAATGTTGTTACATTAATACAGAGCATGTAACAAATTGGTTTGCCTGGACATTTACAGGCTATCAACATAAGCCAGCCCTGCAACTAAAACCTCAAACATATTTCTCTCAAAATCTATTCCTCGTCCAAATTCATCTATTCTAAGGCTGGAAGACAGAATGAGAATAAACCCAAAATTTATCTGTATAAATAATAAAAATAGTTTGCTTTCTTAATGCTATACGCATTTTCCTTATTATTATGGCACATTATCTTTCCTACATGCTATTGCATGGGTAGGAGCAATGTTATTTTAGCTGCTGGAGTATCACAGTATTAAGAATATCTGCTTCTTGTAGCGTCAGGCTTTCATCTGTTAGCTCTTTGTTTGGAAATGAAGTCACAAGAATAAAGTCAAGAGTTGCAAATTCAGGACGGGACTGTATAATAAAGTCCCGGACATCCAGGATCCTGAAGGAATAAGATAAAAATGATTTGTGATATTAAAAGTTTTATTTTAATGTAAGCTTTTAGCTAAAATTAGACGACGATAAGTCCTAACCCTTATTTAAATGTGTTGTAGCTTTTAAAAACGTACATTATTTCAATGGATGGATTTATCTTGGACTATAGATAAAACATGAGCATTCACTCTGAGTGTAGCTAATACTTCCTTTAACTGTAAACAGAGATAATCTTTAGGTGTTTTATACATAAAATAAACGTCAACAGTGTTATTAACACTTTTTTCAGAGTATAAAATATCTTAGCAGCAGACGGGCCAGAAAAAGGTACTTTGAGTGGCCTGGGTCAAGGTGAGTTTAAAACTACCAAAGGTGTAAGTCATAAGGATCATTTTAAAAAATGACTTTCACATATCCCTGGTAACTCAACTAAGATTATAAATATATCCCTTAGAGGGAATCAATGAACAGATAAAAATGGTACCTTAGGAGTACAACAAAAGTACAAATGAATGTTAAAATGACATTGAAAAGTTTATTGACAGTGCTTGTTAATAGCACAATTATACTTTATCTACACCACAAATTTATATTATAAAGAATCTGCTAAGTAGAAAGTTAACTCCAATCAGAATTATAATTTTTAAATGAATAAAGTTTTACTATATATACTATATTAAACCAAATTTGATCCCACTTATATGGTTTTAGCAACAGTGCAAAACTGCAACTTTTAACAATTTTATTTTGGAGAGATACCTGAATTTGCATTAGTCTGTGAGCAGTTCGCAGAGGATGTTCTAACACTGACCTTTCACACAGCTATGATCCTTTTATTTTCCTTCTGTCAAAAACATACTTAAAAAGTGTATCTAATGAATTTCCTATTCCTCTGCTCACGTCACATAGTTTTATTTGGATGAGGAACCACGTGTAAAACTGCGATCGAGCTCACCTGTGTGTACTATTGAATCTTTGTATCAAACGACTCCCATCTGCTAATCTGATCTGAATTTTTGTCGTTGGCACTGAATCATCAATGAGAACAACGGCGTTAAGTATGGACTTATCCTCCTCTTCAGGGGACGAAGGGGTACTGACTATTTCAGGTGTAAGGCTGAGAAGGAAGAATTGAAGAATTAGAACACAAGTCTGAATACGTAAGACGTGAAACAGTGAAGACAGTGGAATAACGACTGACATCCACAGCTGACTCTCAAGTTTTCCCGCCTGGGGTCTGGACCAGCAAGAACACGGCTTCCTTTGGGTCTCCCATAATTCCTCCAACTTCTTTCATTATACTAAAATTATCGTGTATCCTAGGATTCTAATTTATGGTTTATCCAATCTCTTTCAACAGCTTAACTCTGTGGGGCGCCTGGGTGGCTCAGCTGGTTGAGCGTCCAACTCTTGATTTCAGCTCAGGTCATGATCTCACGGCTTGTGGGATCGAGCCCTGTGTCAGCACAGGGTCGGCTTGGGATGCTGTTTCTGTACTTTAATGCTTTCTGTTTAAAATAGATTCTGGGGGCGCTTGGGTGGCTCAGTCAGTTAAGCGTCCGACTTCGACTCAGGTCATGATCTCACACTTCTTCGTGGGTTCAAGACCCATGTTGGGCTCTGTGCTGACAGCTCAGAGCCTGGAGCCTGCTTCGGGTTCTGTGTCTCCCTCTCTCTCTGCCCCTCCACAGCTTGCACTCTGTCTCTCTCTCCCTCAAAAATAAATTAAAACATTCAAAAATAATAAATAAATAAATACATACATACATAGAAAACAAAAAACCAGATTCTGACCGTGGTGCCTGGGTGGCTCACTCGGTTGGGCGTCTGACTTTGGCTCAGGTCATGATCTCACGGTTCATGGGTTCGAGCCCAGCGTCCAGCACTGTGCTGACAGCTCAGAGCCCGGAGCCTATTTCTGATTCTGTGTCTCCTTCTCTCTCTGCCCTTCCGCCCCCGGCGTCCCCCCCCCCCCACCCCAAATCTCACTCTGGCTCTCTGTTTCTCAAAAACAAAACAGGTTAAAAGAATTTTTTTTAAAAACAGATTCTGACCAGATAAGCTTCTTCTCAAAATATAAAAAGAAAGTACCAGGTGGGGAAACTAGGTAAGGAAAGCTGTTCAATGCATTTCTTTATAAGATGTGTGTATGTCAAAATGGATTTATGTGGAATAATAACATTTGAGAACAGGACTGGATTTACAAGAAGGTTTAGGCCAACCATATCACTTTATAGGAAAAAAACAGAGTCACGGAGATTGAAAGACATTTTCAAAGCCACAAAAGATAGTTAGCTGAGTAAGCTGGTTAGTAAGGTATAAAAACACATTTTAAAAAGTTGTGGCAGGGGCGCCTGTGTGGCTCGGTCAGTTGGACGTCCGACTTCGGCTCAGGTCATGATCTCACGGTCCGTGAGTTCGAGCCCCGCGTCGGGCTCTGTGCTGCCAGCTCAGAGCCTGGAGCCTGTTTCCGATTCTGTGTCTCCCTCTCTCTCTGCCCCTCCCCTGTTCATGCTCTGTCTCTCTCTGTCTCAAAAATAAATAAACGTTAAAAAAAAAAAAATTAAAAAAAAAAGTTGTGGCAACTTTAATATTTAGCCTTCAAAGTTATACCTCTTTGTTACTTATTAAAACATTCTCCTTATCATTCCACTGATCAAAATAGGATGACATTTTTGATACACTGTTTGTATGGTTCAAGTATTACGTTAAAAAGAAAATGAAGAGAAAGAGGGAAGTTAATTGATAAAACAAACTCTCCAGGCAAACTGGAGGGAAGGACGGAGGTTGTCTGGAAGGAGAGTGAGTCTCTTGGTCAGGTGGAGAAGCATCGTCTAACTTAAGAGAGGGCAGTAAGCATGGATTTCCTAAACTTGGAGGCTAAGAGGAATATATTCAGAAACTTAATTCCGGTCAGGCTCCGTTTTCTCAGGGAAGCTGGAAGCAAAAAAAGTCTGCTGAGGGCAGGAAACATTTGGGGTGAGCCCTCTGAGAGTGGGAGAGGGCAGCTTGCCCGTCCGGCATGGGGGCGCCCGGCATGGGGGTGCGAACATCCCCGACAGTACTGGGCTGCACAGGGGCAGACAAATCCACAGGCTGCACAGCAAGGCAAGGGGCTGCAGAATTGCTGAGATAAGAAAAGGAAGAAAAGGCAGGAAGGGAAGGATTGTTAGATTTTAGAGGAGAGAGCCCTTAGGGTCCAGGGATCGAGATGAAGTCCAAACTCAGAACAGGTGAGTGGCAGGTGGGTTCTTTTGCACTGCACAGTATGAGAACAGGCAGCCACTGTTGTTAAGCAGAGAGATTTGCTTCAAATCATGATTTGCATCATCATACACACAAGCTCACAAACCTACAGCGACGGTCACTTACTAGCCCTGCTTATCAGAAACGATTCTGTGATTTCCTGGGTCTTGTTGGGTTCTACTCCAGCTCACGAATTTTTATGCAGGAAAACAGTTTATTCTGCCACTGTACATTTGTAGCTTCAAACCTATGATCTGCTTGCTCCTATGATACTACACGAAGGAACCAGGTAATATTTTTATTGCATTTAGGTTTTCCTCATAATTATTTGTCATATCGCAGTAAAAAATTAAGTTGGCTTCCATCTGTGTAATGTTCTTATATGTATTTTTAAGTTTATTTATTTTAAGAGAGAAAGAGGGAGAGAGAATCCAAAGCAGGATCCGTGTTGTCAGCACGGAGCCCGACACGGGGCTTGAAGTCACAACCGTGGGATCCCGACCTGAGCTGAAATCAAGAATCGGTAGCTCCACCGACCGAGGCTCCCAGGCATCCCTATCTTGTGTAACGTTCTGTCTGCAATTCGACTGACGGTTATGGAAAACAATGGACTTATTTCCATTTCTGTTTTGTTTGCCTCTGTTTTGTGATTTCTGTTCAGTCGTCATCTGGAATTCTTAGGAAATGAGCCATTTTAGAAAGTTGCTTTCTGAATCTGTAAAGGTGAACTGTTAGAGAACTTTTATATTTTAACAGACTTCTTAACGTAAAGCCTTCTGAAATGTCCTATGTAGTTCTTCACTTTCTGAGAACGTAACATATACTCTACTACTCTACATTTCGATTCATGTGCATCCGAGAGGCTCACACCACCATGTTAATCTCCTAGTGTCGTTTCCTACACAGAAGCTGAAAATTCTGAAGACTACATTTCTCAGACGCCCTCGCAGCGAGAACGTAAGCATTACGAGGCCAACGTTTTGCAGCTCTTCTGGTCCCCAAGGTCTTGGGAGGCATTTGATTCTTCTACAGCAGCCATGACAGAATGTTCCAGTGTCTGGTCCCTAGCTTCCATGGGCACTGAGCAGCTGAGGGGGACACAGAAGTCTTCACTCTAGAAAGTTCTCTGTTGGGTTTGTTTCTTCCAGGAAAGCTTGATTTGCTATTTCCAGAAATTCTATAAACTATCCAGGGTTCTGTCAGAAGCCCCTTTTTAAGCTAGTAAGTGGATTCTGTTTTCTACATTCGAAAACCCTGACCAATATGGCTAATGATTAACAACACAGCATCATCACAACTTATTTTTGTCATTTTGTCAGGTATTTTTTGTCATATATTTTGTCATCATTACCTCCTTTCTTTGGGGGGGTCATGCTCTCTAGCTAATTGCCTTATGAGAAGAAAGACCGGTCTTTGTAAGATACAACAATGAGACAACATCCTTATTTTTATGAGTTGAAACTGTCGATTGTAATCACTGGCTCGTCTCAGCTATCTTCCCTTTATGCTACTTTCTTCATTTTCAGTTCTAGATTTACTGTTCTACTAATCAAGGTGTGCACTGTAACATTAATTCTTGGTCATAGATTTAAATAAAAAAGAAAGACTATGTACAAAGCAGAGAGATGGCTGGGCATTTTACCTGTGTTCTAAATTAAAAATCAGAATCTGACTAAACATTAAGAAATGAGGAGTGCTACATCTGAAGGTCACAGTTATAAAAACAAGAGAGAGGAAGAAAACCATCAGGAGAAAGCTGACCCGTGTTAGCGGTAAGGAGAGAGAAGGGAGAAATTTCAAACAGATCTGTGAGTGGGCACTGAAGGCTTTGGGTCCTAAGAGAAGCCAGGGCCACACATGTCCCTGTGTTCCCTACCTGTCTCAGAAGTCAGCGTCTGTCAGGAGAAAAGGATACAGAAAGGGAGACTCGAGGTACGAGAGATGAGCGTAAAGAACCGACGTGAATTCTTCCCTATTTTGAGAAACGCGAGGGGAATAGCGAACCAGTGTGCACGGGAAAGAACCTGGATGGGAAGGAATCACGTGGAAAGGAACAAAGGACGCACTGAAAAGGCTGTGATGGAAACAAGGCCCGTGTTACTATTTTACGTGTCACTAGTAATACGTGGACAAAGACAGGGTGACTTTTACCAACAAAGTTCGCAAGATTTCTGAAAACTGTCTTAAGCCACGGCTATCATAAAGGAGTCCGCTCACACACACAAGATGCCACGCACATTGGTTTCTGAACTGTATGCGCCAAAGTCCTAGGGGCTCTTTAGAAACATCTCCAGAGCAATGCCTTCCTTCTGCAATCCAAGCTCAGGTCGTGTGAAATGTGCTCCGTGCTGGGTTTCCCTAACTTGAAGAAAGGGTTCGGTGGCTTTAAATGTGCTGAACACAAACCAACCTCAGCACACAGTTCCTGCTGCGAGAGCTTAGCAGTGCCTTATGGCGGACAGGCAAGCTCACAGCTGAGACCTAAGATGCCAACTGTCTCATCTGATCAACAACCCTTTACAATCTCCCCTTGTGCGCCCGTGTAATCAGAAAGAGGCAGGACCGCACAGGGTCAAAAGCACCAGCTCGAGCCAGAGTGTGGGGTCTGAGTCCCACAGAGCAACCACTTCCCAGACCCGTCGCCTTGGGCAGACTGCCGCGGCAGCAGATGAAGTCATCACAGGATCTATATCCAAGAGTCGTGAAGATTAAGTGACTTCATGTATTTTAAGGTGTTTCCTGGGCCAGGGAAGTGGTGACTGCTATCTAGGTATGAGCTACCAACATTATCACTAGATTTGCATATGTAATTCTACCGGCAAGGCCTTCGCAGTTCACGTTTTAGTTTTTACTTGCTAGGTTGTTTTGCTTTTGTTATTCTCGAAGAAAACTCATGCTGGACAAAGACAAGTATTTTTCTCATTTTAGGATTTTACCTTCCAAGTTTTTGTCCTTCTCCACTGAAAGCCTTGAACCTCAGTCTAGGTTTTATGTATTCTTGATCCCGACGGTCCTCCATATCCAAATTCACGTGGCCACCGTGAACCAGCCGCTGAAGCTCCAGGGGAATCTCTCTTTTAAAAAGGGAAAAAGGTTTTAGTTCACTTAAAAAAAAACCCTAATCTACACCGCTGACATAATTATAACCAAGTTGTGAGCTACTCTGGGAAACAGTTATAATATAGAAATTCCCACGATGATGGATTAGTCCCTGTAGATCTTTCCTTCTTCAAGCTGCCTCACATTATGATGCCTCCAGCTTTGCTTTTCTATTTCAAAATTGCTTTGGCTACTTGGGGTCTTTTGTGGTTCCATTTACATTTCAGGATTGCTTGTTCTGGTTCTGTGAAAAATACTGTTGGTATTTTAACAGGGATTGTGTTAAATGTATGGTTTGCTTTGGGTAGGACAGGCATTTTAACAGTATTTGCTCTTTCAATCCATGAGCCTGGAAGGTCTTCCCACTTCTTTGTGTCATCTTCCAATTCTTTCACAATGAGGTATTTCACCTCACACCTGTCAGAATGGCTAAAATAAAAAAACACAAGAAACAACAGGTGTTGGCCAGGATGTGGCAAAAAGGGAACCCTCTCGCACTGCTGGTGGGAATGCAAACTGGTGCGCCCGCTCTGGAAAACAGTATGGAGGCTCCTCAAAACATTAAAAATAGAACTACCCTGTGATCCAGCAACTGCACTACTGGGTATTTATGCAAAGAATATAAGAACACTAATTCTAAAGGATACACCCACCCCTATATTTATAGCAGCATTATTTACAGTAGCCAAAACACGGAAGTAGCCCAAGTGTCCACTGACTGATGAATGGATAAAGATGTGCTGTATATACCCAATGGAATATTAGTCAGCCCAAAAAAAACAAAAAACAAAAAAAAGAATGAAGTCTTGCCGTTTGCGATGATGTGGAAGAAGCCAGAGTATTACGCTAAGTGAAATACTCAAAGACAAATACCATATGACTTCACTCATATGTAGAATTTAAGAAACAAGAGAAACAACCAAAGGAAAAGTGAGAGATAAACCAAGAAACAGACGGTTAGCTACAGAGAACACACGGATGGTTATCAGAGGGGAGCTGGTGGGGTATAGGTGAAACAGGTGAGGAGGCTAAGGACTGTACTTGTGCTGAGCACTGGGTGATGTGGGAATTGTTGGATCGTTATATCGTACACCTGAAATGCATGTAACACCGTATGATAATGATACTGGAATCAGAATTTGCAAAAAAGTTGTATCACATTATTCCTTAGTGGTTCTCAATACAGGGACTTTTTGTCATCAGTGATCCTGGAGTGCTTCTAACATTTAGAAAGCCAAACTGTAAGCTGGCAATTTATCCCTAAATAAACACTAGCAAATTCCTATGAGGACATAAGAGTTAATATAGATATTTACTTCTAAACTCTCTGGAAGAAGCTGAAGTTTAAAAATCGATAGGTGTCTTTGATTGTCGAGTGATTCGCGAGTGCTGCCGTACAGGGTCGGGACCCAGGTATGAGAATGGTCTGCCACAGGGGTTCTGTTTGCCGATCAAGTCTTGTCTTGGGTTCCACAGAATCACTGAATGCCCTGCCTGAGACTCACATGGATGACAACACTGTCGGTAACGTCCGAGTCTAGAACTTCAGGCTTCGGGTCTGTCTTAGAAAAAAGCAAGACACTTTTTGGGGGGCGGGGAGCATTGTATTAATGTACTTCGATGGGGCGCCTGGGTGGCGCAGTCGGTTAAGCGTCCGACTTCAGCCAGGTCACGATCTCGCGGTCCGTGAGTTCGAGCCCCGCGTCGGGCTCTGGGCGGATGGCTCGGAGCCTGGAGCCTGTTTCCGATTCTGTGTCTCCCTCTCTCTCTGCCCCTCCCCCGTTCATGCTCTGTCTCTCTCTGTCCCAAAAATAAATAAACGTTGAAAACGTACTTCGAAAATTTCAGGAATATGTGTATCATATAAACAGAGAAGACTGCACTTTGGTTTCCTTGGAGCTTTACCAAGCCCCTGACTTCAACGCCACTGATGGTAATTATGTTGCCAAACTCACACACCTCATCATTCTGCGTTTATGTCGGTCACATTTTCTTTGAGAGGTGTAAGACTGCACATAGGTGCGAATTATCTGACTACTATAATTTTGTCTTCTGATGTGGTCAGATGAAGCAGTTACAAATTAAAATATGTACAATTTTATGATAAATTACTTTCCTTTATTTCAATACATTTAAAGTAAATTTTAGATCATTTTTTGGGGAAATAATATGCAGGGGCAGATTATGTCATCTGTGAGTTCTTCTTTGAGGACAGTGAAGGTGGTGGCACAAAATATTTGTCATAAAAAGAGGAAGGTGATTCTACAGTTGCCAACTACTATCTCCTATCAAATCACTGTTTTCAAGGAGTCTTTTTAAAAACTGTTCTTGATCATAATTTTACTTCAAATTAAAACTCCTTTTAGGATACCACGACTGCTTGAATATTAGTCCATAAAGTTTGTGGATTATTTTCATTTAAGAATAAATGAGTTTTGGTCTACATTATAGTACATCCAACACCAGCATGGTCTTGTCTTCCACCATCTTGAAACAAGCATCAATTTCAATAGCAATGTTGATTTTCCCTTAGCAGATCTTCACTTTCCCTAACCAGCTGCTCCCAGCTCTTCCCAGTGACTACAGGTCTCCGGGTCCACAGCACTGTCTTAAACTATTATTTCCTCGTATTTACCCTCGCCACATACTGCCTTCTAGGACAGCTTCCCACCTTTCTCCAGGACTTCAGCATATCGCCTACAGCACTTTTTGGTATCCAAACATTATCTCTGTAGAATTCAAATTCAAAATTCATGCTGATTAGTGTTCTAAAAATAGAGGTTCTCGACTCCCTCAACGCCAATGAGTTTCACCTCTACTCCACTTCAGCCACTCTCCTTGGACGTAATTACATCACTTGGAAAAGCCCCAGCTTCAGTTCCTGGATGGAGCATAAGCTCCTACTCCAGCCCCCTTCCCTGCTACTTAAATCTCCCACTTACTCACCAACCTTCTCTGTTTAGTTGCGTTTCTACTTAGGAACGATCACATTGATGCAGAAAAGCTTTCATAATCATAGCAAAATCACTTGATGCCTCATCCTTTAGCAAGAAGGGCTGGTGAGCTATGATGTTCATTAGATGGGTCAGAGCATCGTATAGATGGTTTACTTTCACGAACCACTACCCCAACTAACCTTTTGAAATCTTCTGCCAGCAGTAAAGCCACCTTAAAAATGTTAATATAAGTTGCTGAATTTCAGGTTGATCAGATTTTGGAAGGGGCCAATGTCTACTGTCCCTCCCCAGCAAGTTAAGAACCAGAGACTTACAGATAGCAATATACCCTTTAGATATTTAAAGATACCCTTCCCTCAGCAACCACTTACATAATACATCCCAGCATGGTGAAAAAGTCCCACCCTAAGTGACAAACAGAACACATACATCTTACCCTTTTTTAACAGACTCCAGAAATTGAGCATTTGGTGGGTCGTGATAAGGTCTCAGTTCTCCATCATCTAAACTGAAACCATTGCTCCACAGTTTAAGCAAAATCTGAACCTTTTGGGCATAGGAAAAAAGACAAAGGCATATAAGAATCCATCTTACTGAACAATCTTAAGCTTCCAATGTGATATTTCACAACATATTAAGCCACCCACTTTATTTAAAACATGGGAGTTATTATTTTTTATTCACAGTTAAAATAAAGACATAAATGAAAGCATGTGTTTGCCAGGCAGATTTGTATGTAGCTTAACAAATCAACAATGGCTGAAATACCAGAGGTCCCACAGCTAGACCCTGGCCTTGAAGTACAATTATTCTGGGTCACTGAGAAAATGAAAGGATTGAGAGCATACAGCTGTCACTCCACACCCACCCTTCTCATTCATCTGTACCCACACTCCTGTCTGCTATAGGGCTTAACCAGTTATGTCAAGGGGCAAGAGAGAATTTCCAATGACTCTCCAAGGCTAAACTATACATGTTTAAATGAAATTGTAACTCCAAATTTTAAAAGGCATAAACAAAGAATGACTGTTTACAACTCAGCTATTTCTATATTCTGACAGTCTACCACTAAGGGTAATTATTATCGTATGTACGTAAAGCTCATTTTGATAGTGAATCATACATTCTTTCAACATATAGAAAATATTTACAATCTAAGTACAAGGCATAAGGGAGATACAAAATATAAAATGTGAGACTAAAAGCTTACACATTGATCCTTTTAAAATCCATGTTTCAAAAAATAACAGAAAAGAGATTATATTATCAATTTTTAAATTTAAAACAGCAGTAACTAGAGGCAAATGTCTACAATTTTTCATTTTGGCTACTATACCTACATCTTGCAGTTGGTTTTCTCCATAGATGTATTCAGACCGCTTACAAAAGGAATTGCCCAATCTATATCCTCCACCTGTAAATGACTAAAATACACCGCAAATGAGCGAAAAATTCACTAAGGTTTATAGTGAAAAACGTTATGATAATGTATGATATATATTTTAAAACTAGATCAGTTATAATTAGCCCAACTGGTTTGCACTTTCGAGGAAAACTTTTTATTTAAATGAAGCTCTTATGTTACAGAGAAGTATACTCAAGTAAGATACTATGTTTCTTCCCTAAAAACATTAGTGACTTGAGTTGAAATAATTTAGACCAATCTTAAATTTAAAAATGCATTTACAGGGGCGCCTGGGTGGCTCAGTCGGTTGGCGGCCGACTTCGGCTCAGGTCACGATCTCGCGGTCCGTGAGTTCGAGCCCCGTGTCGGGCTCTGTGCCGGCAGCTCAGAGCCTGGAGCCTGTTTTGGATTCTGTGTCTCCCTCTCTCTCTGCCCCTCCCCTGCTTGCTCTCTGTCTCTTTCTCAAATAATAAACATTAAAAAAATTTTTTTTAATGTATTTACACACTGAAATATCTAATTTCAAGTATAAACAGATTTTAAAAAGCCACCATTAATATTTTATGTTTTATCATAAAAATTATGTTTAAATCATATTTCACAAAGTAAATAACAGTTTCACAGAGTTAAGGAAGAATTTTATAAATGGGTATAAATTACTCTGAAGATAGGCTGCATATTTATTTTATAAGCTGCTTTTATTTAACTGTTGCAGTCAACTATGATTGTACTTTTTGTTTTATTACACTGATCACAAGGTCTTCTATTTTTCAGGGAGGAAGGCTTATGAAGTAAAAATACCATTCCTTTTAATCACTTTCCATATCATAAATACGCTTTTAATGATCACATTCCGTTCTTTTCTACAGACTAAATAATCCATAAAAAGAAAAAGATACATCGGACTTCGTCAAAACTAAAAACTTCTGTTCCGTGATAAGCCCTGATAAGAGGATGAAAAGACCCGACTACCATCTGGAAGAAAATATCTGCGATCCAGGGGCACCTGGGTGGCTCAGACAGTTAGGTGTCCAACTCGATCTCAGTTCAGGACATGATCTCAGGGTGGCATGACTTTGAGCACCGCACGGGGCTCTGTGCTGGCAGCAAGGAGCCTGCCTGGGATTTTCACTCTCTCTTCTGCCCCGCCCAGCTTGCGCTCTCTTAGTCTTTCTTCAAATACATATATATGCACACATATACATATACACACACATGTACGGATATATATATATGATATAGATTTATAAATGTATGTAAGTACGCATAAGTATAAATGCATATGTAAATACATATACATATGTATGTAAATATATAAATATATATGTATATTTGAATGCATATATTTGACAAAGGACTCATACCTATTGAAATCTCTAAAGAACTTCCAAAACTCAACAGTAACAAACCAATTTGAAAAGAGGCCAAAGTCATTTTGCAGTGGGGGAGAGGAAAGATAATGGCAAATAAACACATGAAAAGATGTTGCACACCACTAGCCACCAGGAAAATGCAAAATGACATCACTGGCCGTTAGGAAAGTGCCAACGAAAACCACAATGAGTTACAACCACACACTTACCACAATGGCTAAAATTTGAAATCGCGACAATACCAAACGCTGGCGAGAATGGACAAACTGGCTCTGCCGTTCACTGTGAAGAGTTCGGCAGTTTCTAAGAAACTAAACATACGCTTACCTTATGACCCAGCAACTGGACTCCTGGGCATTTATCCCACAGAAAGGAAAACTGACATCCACACGAGAATGTGGACACGACTGCTCACAGCAGCTTTATCTGTAATCGTCCCAAACTGGAAACACCTCAAACGTCCCTCAGTAAAGCAAAAGGTTCGACCAACTGTGGCACATCGATACCATGAAGTGCTACTCTGGACTAAGGAGAACCAGGTACTGAGACGCTCAGTAACTCCGATGATCTCCAGGGCATGGAGCGGAGTGAAGAAAAGCTAATCCCGAAAGGTCACATACTATTACTGTATCATCCCACTTGTATGACGTTCTCAGCGTTACGACGTTACGGAGATGGAGAACAGGGTTAGGTGGCAAGAGGTTAGGGATGGGAAGAGGGTGTGACCACAGCGGTGTCCGCCATGAGGGAGATCCTCGTGATGGCAGAGCGGTACCTTGACGGGGCTGACAGTTACACAAATCTACATGTGAGAAAACGACACAGAACTATATATGTACATGGTACCAGCGTCAGATCTTGGCTTTGATTCTGTACGACAATTATGTAAGATATAACCAGCGGAGGAAACTGGGTGAAAGGCACGTAGAACCTCTCTGTGTGCTTTTCGCATATTCATGTGAATCTATAATTATTTTTTAAGGAAGGGTAAACAGGCAAGTTTCACAGAAACGTAAAAACTTGCTGCGACTTTCAATCATTAATGGATTATAATCTTATAAAAATAGAGCAAATGTTTAAAACAGAAACATGTAGTCAGAAAACAATGCTTCCAAATAAGATAAAAACCTATAGACGAGATCAAATATATAAACAGTGTATTTCAGTTTTTTGTTGTTTTTTTTTAATTTTTTTTTCAACGTTTTTTATTTATTTTTGGGACAGAGAGAGACAGAGCATGAACGGAGGAGGGGCAGAGAGAGAGGGAGACACAGCATCGGAAACAGGCTCCAGGCTCCGAGCCATCAGCCCAGAGCCCAACGCGGGGCTCGAACTCACGGACCGCAAGATCGTGACCTGGCTGAAGTCGGACGCTTAACCGACTGCGCCACCCAGGCGCCCCTGTATTTCAGTTTTAAATTCAGCACTTACCTTAGATTTGTTATCACCTGAAGCTCTTGTGGCTTCATTCAGAGGGACAGCCCCATGTTCTCTTGCCTCTTTGAAAAGTTCACTCACAATCTTCCCAGGTGAAGGTTGAACTATATGTAATCCACTGTATTCACGTTCACTTGAATAGAACCTTTCGACATTAAAGTTCATGAAGAAAAACTCAGAATACAAACATAAACTCCTTTGAAGTAAAAAGCTACAGTCTTAGGACATGATCTTTGTTTAAGAAGAACCATTTCTATGACTTCTGTGGAAATTCTTAATTTTAAAAATGGGATTAAGGAATGAAATAGTAAATGGTTCATACACTTTCTCCTGATGGGGTTTGTGGGGAGTATGGCAGTCAAATTCACATCCCACACGAGAACTGGCTTCTCAATTCTCCCATCCCCTTTCTGTAAGTGCTTAGCAAACGCATCTCTCGCACAACGTGGGCACTCTTGGTGTGGTGGGCAAAACAGCGCTGACAATCAGAATGAAGTCTCTTCCCCTGATGAATCCACATTCAGTAGGGACCTACTTAGTGAAGGAACCTACTCCCACACAGGGAATTTATTCCTCAGAGACTTTTGGATTCAAAAATTATAATTCCCTGTATCAAAGGTACATAATGTAGACCACAATTTTTCCAGTGTATCAGCTACATAGTGACTAATTTCTAGTCTGACTCCAACTTCATAATGGTCCTAGGGAACATAAAATTCACATCATGTTTTACATAAGATTTTATCTATTTTATCTTTCAAGATTTTTTTTTTTCAGTCAAGAGTATCAGAAAATATAACCAGCAAAATATCAACATGGAGACAACCAGAATAAGATAACAAACCTCATATGTTCAGTTCTAAATCTGTCCTGAACTGACTCACAAAACAAAGAGGGGAAATTACATCAATACTGCAGGCTGAGAATAGCCTTTCTAGAAGACTTTCTGCAAAATTAGTATATGGAAAACGGGACAGAAAAGACAGAATGGCAGAATGGCTCTTAATTCACTGTAAGCGAAGGAAAAATCCACCTGGAGAACAGGTGGGCACCATCAGAACCCTGCGAACACAAGACCAGCTTGTGATTGCTGAGGACAGGGGTGCGGTGGGCTGGACCCCATCCTGCTAGGGCACTAGGCAAGCACAGAGGTGAGTCTGCCCAGAGCAGCAGACAATGGAAGCCTCAGGGGCCAAGCTTATCCTCAGCGGGCCGGGTAGATCAGGCGAGGCCGAACAGTGCCACAGCTGGCTCTTAAGGCGAGTGGTGGTACACGGTGGGGTAGCAGAGGATTTAAGGCAGCTGTGCGCAAGGAAAGGAAGAGGAAGGAGGAAAGGAAAACAAAAAGAAAAGCTGCCTGTTGCAGCTATTTCCTGTTGTAGCTCCTTCCCATGTCTCTATTCTGGAAAGCACAACTATGTATTTCCTTTTTATCTCAGTCCTGGTTACAAAGACCTTACGGGAAAAATGTGAAATGGGAAAGGATTTACTAGTTCCTTTATGGTTAATGATTTTCTTTCCAGTTTAAGAAACCTTTGCCTACCTGAAGATCGTGGAGATATTCCACTTTCTTCTAGAAGTCTTATTTTATTTTTCTTATTATATGTTATTTTCCTATTTATATTTCCTTTTATATTTAGATCACAATCCATCCGTTTCTCCTCTTTCATAATTAAGTACGCCTATATCCTTGACTCTTGTCCTCAAACGTGAACTCCTCGGATCATCAAAACATTTGTGCACTTCCCTAGGTAACGACCTCTTCTACAGGCGATTCTCAAGTATGTTTTTAGCCTCCTGTGACTTACGGGGTCCAGGGCTGAACTTAAAAGCACCTACTGAATCGAATTCATCTCTCCAAAACTAAACCTGTATTCCCCACACAAATCTTCTCATGAACAGTCACATTTTTTTCCTGTATAGCCTGTAGGTCTCTTTCCTACTCAGTTGCTCCCTATATCCCACGTTACCATGTTTCTACAGTAAATTCTTTGGAAGTATCCCACACTGATTTTACTCTTTCTCCTCCATTCCACTGACGCCACTTGAGTCCAAATTTTTATTGCCACATTTCTTAGATTACCGTCACTGTTTTCTTCTTAATTTCTCTCCTTATCTTGTTCTCCCCATTACTATTAATTTTACACTGTATCGCCAGTCCTATTTTTCTAAAATATATAACAATAGCTAACACTTATCAAGGAGTAACTATGTGCTCATTTAATCCTCATAACAGTGGTATTATCTCTGATTTACAGAGAAAACTAAAGCTTAGGGAGTTTCAAAAACTTGTCCATTGGCAAAACCTTATTAAAACAGAGAGGAAAAAAAATTAGAACTGAGGTGTATCTGTCTCTAGAAACAAAGCTTTTCTCACTGTGTTGCGGTTTTTAGCATAAAATTTACATTAAAAAACATATGCTGGCTTTCCATTGCCTTCTACACAAGTACAAGCCCCTTTGGCATTCAAGGCTGTCTGCCCATAACGTGGCTCTATCCAGGACTGGCTATGTAATTTGCGGGGCTCAGTGCCAAACGAAAAGGAGTCTCTCTGCTCAAAATTTGTTAGGAATTTCAATATAGTAACGGCACAACACTAACCCCAGCACGGGGCCTTTCGCAGCATGGGGCTCTGTGTGAATGCGTAGGTCACACGGCCAGGAAGCACTCTATCTAGCCAACCTTATCTGCAGCTGGTCTACTAAAGTTCTGCTAGCTCCTACTCGGATCCCTCTCATCATACTTACCATTTTCTCCTCTGTGCCCATTTGTTTAGGAACCCTGTCCCTTGTCTTTTGTGGTACCTGTATCTTAATAATCTTTTAAGGTCCAGCTAGGTTCCAACACTGTGCTAGTCATCTTAAACACTTATCCCATTTAATTCTCAAAATAAAACTACTGCCTGATGACTCAAAAGAACTTTTTTTTTTTAAGTTCTCAAATTTTTGAATAACTCCAATTTCATAGTCGTCCAGTGTGAACAAGGAGGCACATTGTTTTTAGGTTCTGTTAGATGTCAACTTTTGCAGACGAATATGTTAAAGCTGCTGTCAGGCTATCTTCTGAGTTCTGTAGATTCTATCCCTCCTCTCCTAAATTACAAACATAGACCACATTATGTGCAGAGTTCCAGACAGTGAAAATATACTGGATTTAAAAATGACAATGAGCAGAGAAATAATTTGATATGCAATTCTGCCCAAGAAAGTGAACCATGAAAATAAGCAGGTCTTCTGTACCAAATAAAGCAGCAGAAATGCAATGAAACTGAGTATATGTCAATGTGGAGGATGGAATCAAAAGAATTATATACTTAGTATTAGGAAATAGCATACTGAGTTAAAAAAAAAAAAGATCCGCCGATAACTTGCTTCATTGTATTCTAAGCAGATTAAACACAGCTTAAGCCTCAGTCAATATCTTTTAGGGCAGCTTCTCCTTTTGGGTATGTAAATATTTCCAGAGATCAAATCTGAGGCACCAAGTTCTTCAAAATGGCATTACCAAATTGCAACTATTAATGGCAACACTGTTTCAGACAGGACAAAATAAAAGAGAAAAAAAACCATTCATTAAAATATGTTAAAGATTCAGGTGCCTGGGCAGCTCAACTGGTTTTGCATCTGACTTCCACTCAGGTCATGATCTCACAGTTCGAGCCCCACATCAGGCTCCTGCTGTCCAGCCTGGAGCCTGTTTGGAACCACTGCCTCCCACTCTCAGCCCCTAACCTGCTTGTGCTCTCTCAAAAATAAACAAACATGAAAAAAAAAATCTTGGGGCGCCCGGGTGGCTTAGTCGGTTAAGCATCTGACTTCCGCTCAGGTCATGATCTCAGGGTCCGTGAGTTCAAGCCCCGTGTTGGGCTCTGTGCTAACAGCTCAGAGCCTGGAGCCTGCTTCAGATTCTGTGTCTCCCTCTCTCTCTGCCCCTCCCCTGCTCATGCTCTGTCTCTCAAAAATAAGTGTTTAAAAAAAAAAAAAACTTAATGATTATATTTGAATAGCAAGGAAAACATTAATACACTAACCTTATTATAAGTAGTCAACTATTTTGTTATATCGTAAACAAATTAAGTTGTTCAAAATACGCTCAAGTTGGCGAAACAACGGTCAAACAGTTAAAGAATAAAACTTTGGTACATAAATATTTTAAGTATTTTCAAAACTTTGGAGAATGTGTAAGTCAAGAAGTTAAAATATATTGTATATATATTTTACATATATATGTACATACACATATACATGTCAAAAATGAAAAGGACAGGGGCGCCTGGGTGGTGCAGTCGGTTGGGCGTCCAACTTCAGCCAGGTCACGATCTCGCGGTCTGTGAGTTCGAGCCCCGCGTCAGGCTCTGGGCTGATGGCTCGGAGCCTGGAGCCTGTTTCCGATTCTGTGTCTCCCTCTCTCTCTGCCCCTCCCCCATTCATGCTCTGTCTCTCTCTGTCCCAAAAATAAATAAACGTTGAAAAAAAAAAAAAATGAAAAGGACAGGATATTCAAACAGTGCCAAGATACCAAGCTGCCGATGTACAAAAGAAAAACCGTGTCTTACAACGGAATGATGTGGTGATCTGCCCCTTTATCAAGTGAACATATCACCAATAGTGAGAAAATCTGAAATTACATATGGCTCCTGATGTGATATAATACAGGGCAGACAGTATCACTTACTAGTTTCCTTGACAAATATGTTTAACAAGAATCTAATGGTGAAGAAACAATGACCTTGAATGTCAATGTAATGAATTTTGGATTATACAGCTGGGCTAAGAGCAAACAACGAACAGATGAGGAGGAGAATGCTCTGGATTCAGATTCAAAACCAGCACAATCAAGTGGATGGCATGGCCATTGGTTAGATCCTATTTCCAAAAAAGGCTTGAACAGATATTTATGGACTAGACATTACAGGATTTCAGGAAATTACTGTTCATGTTCTCAGCTGTGATACGTTACCAGGTGATAAAGGTGTATGTGCCTCTTCTTAGTGGACAGTCTATTGAAGTATCTAATGAAACGTTATGATGGCTGCAATTTGCTTCCAAGTAGTTGAGTAACAGAGTGTTTTTACAGATGTAATGCTGTAACATGTTAACAACCGGGGAATATAGGGAAAGCATATACAGCATACATTCATTGTACTAATCTTGTGATTACCTATGGGTTTGAAAATTCATAAAATAAAAAGTTTGGGGACAAATTTTCTTTCTTCTCATTCATGTCCAAAAAAGGTACATCATTTTTATCTCCCCTACAGAAAAAAGGATGTGGAGTAGTGACAAACAAAAAAGAAAGGATAATTTCTAGTGAAGTCTTAAATTTCTGGTAAAATGACAGACCTTCTGTGAATGAGATATAATGGAAAAATTCCAAGTTTCTCCACAGTGATGAAATTCGCAGTATTAAAATGACATTAATGAAAACATTGCTAGAAACAGGAAAACTCATGGTAATGAAGTGTACCTGGCTCTCATCTCTTAAATCTAGTGGTTCTCCTTCTAGTTCAGGGGTTTAACAATAGCAAACACTGTCTAAGAGATCACTTATTTGATGGGTCATCATCCGTGAAAGCACAGACAGGTTCCTGAAGTTCTAGGTTCTTAAATGGAGGATAGAAGGCATATAGGGACTCCATGAGTGGGTTTTCAGAAACACAAATCCTTAAAAACAATTAATAAAATTGTGCGTAAGTGCTATTTTGTGGGGAGATGGGCTATAGCTTTTGTCATATCCTCAGTGTGTCCTATGACTCAAAAAGGACCACAGTGTCCAACAAAAATACTATTCAGTGTGTATTTCTTTATGATGTCTACCAAAGTATCAGGACTTTAAGACCATTTTTCCATAAGTATGTTTTAGTCTTCTATTATTGTTCTAGGAATACTACCTAAATAATATGTATTTTAGAAATTATAGTTTTAGAAAAAATTCCCAAGGCCATTTAAAATAAGAGGATTGGTGAACTAAAAAGACATGCAATGTTTAAAACCAAAACAAGACAAAAACAAAACAAAACTTACCTCTGAGGTGGTGTTCGTGGGCTTTTAAAGACTGCAGCGTTAGGTCTATCAGATTTGGAAGATTTGCATTTCACTTCATCTTCATATAATTCCGCCAAGGCCAACTATAAAACAACACATTTGTTATGAAGTATAACCCTAGGAATGAACTCTTACAGACAAGTAGAAATGAAGAGTAGAATAACTTGTGATTGAGTCATAAATTTTTTTTAAGTTTATTTATTTATTTTTGAGAGAGAGACACAGAGAGAGAGAGAGAGAGAGAGTGATCAAGGGAGGGACAGAAAAAGAGAGAGAAAGAGAGAGAAAGAGGGAATCCCAAGCAGGCTTTGCACTGTCAGTGCAGAGCCCCATCTGGGGCTTGATCCCAGGAACCGTGAGATCATGACCTGAGCTGAAATCAAGAGTGGGTCGCTTAACTGAGTGAGCCACCCAGCTGCCCCTGAGTTGTAAAAGTTGTAATGAAAAATAAAGGCTGCTGCTTCAGAGGACCTCCTTCCAAAATAAAACCAAAGTATCTCTCACTTGATAAAACTAATCAAAATGCCACATATACTAGAATAAATTAAAGTTACAATAACTGCTTAATTGTTTTCAATTAACTATTCACCTGTTTCAAAAACTGCATTTGATAATATTTTCAAAGTTGGGTGTATAATTTTCCTATAATTAAAGAAAAATACTTGAAGATGTTTTACACTCATGTCAGTCTGCTCTGATAAAAATTATTTCATTTAGCTGTTTAAGTTTTCAAAATCCAAGCACATAAAATAATTTCAAAATTATTCTATTTAAAACTTTAACAGACATCTGAATTTCATCAAGTTTACGCAAATGAACTTTTAAAAATATAAGATAATAAATTGTACATATGGTTTATATAACTTTTAGAAAGCAGTATTACCAAATAATGCGTTATAGATACATGGCTGGGTGCCTTCAAAATGGAAAGAAAAATCCAACATAGTTCTTGAAATCGGAATTTTAGAAAGTTATTCATAAAATTTCAGCATTAAGTTATTTTGTTGCCACTTCTGACAACTTGAACAATTCAAAAATTTCCCTTAATGTACCCCAAATAGGCATGATCATCTCTGGAAATCTTTTGGGAAAAAAGTAACCAAAAATGATAATTAGAGGGAATGAATGCTGGGATTCATGATGTCCCTGCAGCATCATATGGTGTAAGTTCATTCGTAAACGTTACAAAGAAATTTAATTTATATTAGTTGACATAACAAAAGACACCACACCAGAAAAGGAAATGATTACTTAAACAGATCAAAATAAACTAAAGTACTGGTCAGAACCAACAGAACAACAACACAATATCCGTCAAATAAAGAGATGAGAACGTGTGCATTATGAAGTAATGAAGCATGTGAATCATCAGGACGGAAAGTTCCACGGGCTAAACAATGAGATTATGAAGCTATTTCAATTGCACAGAGGGAATAAAGCACATAAGCACTGATCATCTTTTCTCTAGAATTTAAAATGTGAAGAGCATGAAGCGAAACCTGAAGGAAAAGTAACTGAGAATGAGAATAATCAAGCAGACAGCAAAAGATGAAAACTCCTGGGATTCTCAGTCTTAGAGTGACAAGTGCCAGAAGGTATGGTTTTTCTACAGAAGAACAACATCACCATTACCGGGGAAGCTTTGAAAATGCACATACTCCGGCCCCACCCTGACCCAGTGAGTGAAAAACCCTTGGGGTGGGGGGAGGAGCCTGCAATCTGTGCTGTATCAAGCCTTCTAGATGATTCGGACACGCACTAAATTGAGAACCAATGATATGGAATACTGATAGCCATCAGGATTAGGATACGTGTGGCAACGGTAACACAGGATCAGACATTCTTATTCTTTTGCCCACTTACAGAACTCCACTATCTCCCCCAACCCGTCCTAACTCTCCCAAGTACTGAAGTCATCTCTAATCACCCCCAACTCCAATCTATAGGGAAACACAGCACTGAGAACAGAAACCTTTTCTCTTTTGATACGATTCTGGAGGAAAACTGGGACAGAAGTATACAATTAAATATGTTAACCAAGTGTTAAACCCATGTGCGTGCGGATTGATTGAGGGGAACCAGAAGAGAGAAAAGTCTCTGAAAATGTTCGGAAACTTACGAACACTGAGGTTTTTAGGGTTAGTATTGTCACTCACAACCCCATCCTAAGCCTTCCCACTGAATGTTTCCCACTTTGGGGGTACAGGAAGGGAGCTAAGATCTGCTCTTGGTTTGTTATACAAAGGAGATTTTTGCGGTTTGTAAGTCAGAGGCTCACAGGGCCGGGAGGCTTTCTGGGGGACAGCCGTCCATGTTTCCTCCTGTGTTAAATGAGGAAATCTCTTCTGACTTACATGCCAACAAACCCTACACGGCCTGGCAGCTAACATATACATACTTAGGGGTGTCTTTTGCGTGTTCCAATTAGTAATACATTACTCCTTTCCTCGACAATATTGTGACTCTTAGAACGAACTTTCCAGAAAGAAGTATCTGCTGAAAAGTACACTTAAAAAAGCAGAGCTAGATTAGACAATAACGAGACGATAAAACAATAACTGATATTAAAGAAACTCATTGGGGAGAAGAACATCATTCTTTTAAACCTACTCTATTTCTTCGTACATCATCACTTTGGTTGTTTTCAGGTTTATTCACAAGTTCTTCAGATGCTTATTAAATTCTAAAGGAAACATTATCAATACTTAATGTATTTAATATCCAAATCACGTTCATAAGATATTAGTTATCCACCTACCGACCTACCAGAAAGTAGATAAGAACAAAAAATCCCTATCCTCTAACTGATGGTGAAGAGGTCGGCATTCTCCAATTAGTGACATTCACCAAAACATCTGTAACCATTAATCATAGCAAATCCCCTGCCTTAGGTCTGTAAATCTGACAAGTATCAGGCAATCATGAACCAAACTTTTCTCATTTTTCACATGAAAAGAAGAAATGGATTGAAGTTAGAGACAGGATATTAAGTTACAGGGTTTTCACTTTAATAGTATTAGAATGGACTAACCAGTTAAAGGTATAGTATTCTCCTCCTTTAAAGAAAAAGGAACCAAATATTTACCAAGCAAGTAGAGAGCCCAAGATACTATGGGGGTACATGGGCACTTTATAGACATTTCATTCCTGACACCACCTACATCACCCCTAGATTACAAATAAAGACACTGAGGATCATCAGAGGGATTAAGACATTTCTGACATTCACAAGTCTACTAAGTGGCAGGACCGGTTTCCCCCACCATCCCATGTTGCTTCTTAAGGACGGTAGTCTACAACAGAGAAGAAGAAGTATATGGTAACTACCACTGAATTAATTTACGAGCACTGGGACTATTCCCCATTCAGTTTGTCTTCTAACCTGACACTGAGCTCTCCATTCTCCAAATTCTTCATTTTATGTCCTGCTTAACTTGGCATTCAATCATACTCCGCCTTAAAATGCTGTGTTCAACATATTCATATATTATTTCTGCAACAAATAGACAGAAATGCCTTTTCCCCTTCTATCCCCTTCAAGAGTGGCCAGTACCAACTGTGGATTTGATGTCCTACTCGTCTCTTCATTCTGGGGGGTTTAGCGGAACGATGCATGGCAGGTGGTTCAATACTTGTTCAAAGAAGCAGAACTGAAGGTGTAACTGCATCAGAACTTCTCTACCAACGCATGCAGATTCTGTGTCATTTACTTCTAATTACACAGCTTATTATGATTGTTTACTTGTTGAATTTGTATCAACGGTCTTATGAGACAGGGGGGAAAAAGCTTAAATGAGGACAGTAGGGTTAAGTATCTGAGAAAGCGAGATTTGCCCCATTCTTATTTAGCTAACTAATGTCATCATGAAGTTTTAAGCCGCCGTTTCTTATGTGCAATGTTTCACGCACTACAGTTTCTACAACGAGGATGCACAGCCTTAGGATGAAATACCTTAGCTCCCCTTCTAAAAGGGAAAGGCTCCCTGATTAAAAGCAATCATTTTTATACACAAGTAATCCAGACAGAAAACAGCCTCCGAGACAAGAAAGATCAAGCCGGCACGTATCGTTACTTATAAAGTGACCGCTGATTGCCCGCGGCCACCGGAAAGCTTTCTTCTACAAGAAGTCTCCCGAAGGCGGCACCAACCAGTGAGCCACCCCACACACAATGCCATTTTAAAGGTACGGTTGCTTCTTAAATTGCAAATCGGGTGGAGGGGAAAGAGGCGCGGGCACCAGAGCGTTGGGCTCGGGCACCTGTTTCCACGAACACCACTGTCCGCTGCACCGCCCTGGGGAGACCTGCATCGCGGGAGTTACAATTCGGTCCCCATGCGGGGTCTGGCGAGGGCTCGGCCGCGGCCAGGGGCGGCCGCCGAAACGCACCCCGCCGCGCAGCTCCCGCCGCCGCGCCCCGCCCTCGGCCGCTCGCCGCACCTGCAGATCCCGCGCGCTCGGGGGCCGCGGCCCAGAAGACCTCTCCTGTTCCCCCGGATCGGCGCCACCGCCTTCCGCCATCTTGCACCTGCTCACAGGCGCCTGCGCCGACGCGCGTTCCGCGACTTCCGGGCCGGTTGCCCGGCAACCGCGGGAGGGGCGGTGCCTGCGCTCCCCCACCTCCCCGGAGCGTGGGGCGCGCCTCGCCCTTTTCCGGCGCCGTCCCTCCCGGGCCTTAATCCTCTTTTCCTTAAAGGAAGTACGCTCCGAGACTTTTTTCCGCAGGGACGTATCTACGTAAGCCGCGCGCTGTCTCCGCCACGCGCCTGGTGGTGGTGTAGGCCGTCCTACAGGGCGGCGTAGACGTGTGGGTTCTGTTAACTCAACAATGGAAACGTCCTCTGGACGCATTGTCTGTTAAAAATCGCAACCTTGCTTTTCTGGTCTTGGTCAAATTAGCCCATCTTCCCCAGCAAAGACTGGGTGGTGGTACGCTCGCCCCCAGTGCGTGAATCGGTGTTGAGGATGAAGAACACAGTGAAAGTTCTTTGCACGCAGAGCTGGAGACTGCGAAACCCTCTTCATTCATCTGAGATGTGTTTAAACTCCTCGTGTCTTATTCCAGACACTTTTATGCCCCCGAGGTGCAAAGGTAGAAAATAGTAGGCCCCAGTCATTCTAAAACTCACAATCTAGTGGGGAAAAGAGAGATGTAAACAGATAATAAAATGCGATTTGCAATAGAGCTTTGCATTGAATGGTATGAGTGGGATGTGGGGCGTGAAGGAGAGTATTTTGCTGGTACCTGCCCTGTGCACCCTGCTAGGTGCGCTCCGTGTGTAATCCCGTCTGTCTCTGTTCGTTACCTACTGTTATTATCGTGTTGTACCCGAGGAGACCAGACGGTAAATAATGGCTGGATTCACCCTGTTGTAAATGGCAGTCCGGGTACCAAATCCGGTATTGGCGGTTCCAGTATTCTTTTTTTCATACAACATCTGCTCTAGAAATCCCTGGCTCTTCGTTATGTTCCATAGCGCTAAGGACATTTTGGCCGAATCTTAAAGGATAAGTACTTCCAATCGACTACGGACCAAAAGGGATCACAAGGAATGGCATTGGTTTGAGACGCCATGTTCATGTTGATAAAGTACTACATGGTTGAAGCTTAGGGGAAATGACAAAAGATAGAAATGGGTTGGGTGGGGTACAGATCTAGACTGAAGATGTAGGCTTAGCACAGACAGGTTCTGAAAGATCTTGTCTTAGTGAAGAGATTGAACCTTACCTCTCGGCCAGTGATTCTCAAGTGTTGCTGCACATTAGAGCTCACATCAGAACCCCCTTCCCTCCCCACTTAACCCCAGAAACTCGAATTTAATTCATATGGGGTGGGACTCAAGCTCATATTTTTTTAAGTTGCTTCCCAAGTGGACTTTGCTTCTGGCCACGACTTTGCAGCTGGCACTAGACTTGCTCTTGTTGCATCCACACGACTCCTGAAACAGAATGCGATGGGTACCAGTAACAGTCACAACAAAGTTTATTGCAATGAGAGGCAAGGCAAACCAATCGTTCGGGACCGACACTCTTGACCAGAGTGTGGTCTCAAACAACCGGGGTACCGAGTTTTTAGAGCTGACCACATCGTCTTATTATCACCTGGGAACAGAGCAAAGGCATAGTTCCCAGGTGGAAACAGTTCAAACAGGCCCTTGCCCCAACCCAATCAAGCGCTAATCCATCCCTTGATTGATAGGATAAGGCTGTTATCTCTTAACCTATAGTGTTAAAACAAAGCTGTTATCTCTTAAGGCTACAAGTTAGCCCTACGCTTACACTCTCACTCCCAACAATTAAAAAACTTGTACATGAGGGGCGCCTGGGTGGCGCAGTCGGTTAAGCGTCCGACTTCAGCCAGGTCACGATCTCGCGGTCCGTGAGTTCGAGCCCCGCGTCGGGCTCTGGGCTGATGGCTCAGAGCCTGGAGCCTGTTTCCAATTCTGTGTCTCCCTCTCTCTCTGCCCCTCGCCCGTTCATGCTGTCTCTCTCTGTCCCAAAAATAAATAAACGTTGAAAAAAAATTAAAAAAAAAAAACTTGTACATGAAATAACTGTTTTCAGATATTGAATAACAGGCAGTACAGGTCTGTGATATCCCAGAGAAGAGAAACAAGCAAGATGAGCTGTGTTTGCTCTGACTTTCTGCCTGGAACGCTCACACAGTGCTGGTAGGAATGGAGAATGGCACAGCCCCTTTGCAAGATCATTTCTTCTAAAGCTGAATATTCAGTTATCATAAGGCTTAGCATTTCCACTCCTAAGATTGACCCAAGAGGAATGAAAACATGTTTACAACAATATTTGTACCCAAATGTCCATGGAAGCTGCATTCGTAATAGCTCCGAACTGGAAATAATCCAAATGCCCATCAGCAACTGAATGGGTAACATTTTGATAAGTTCATACAGTGGAATGCTACTCAACAGTAAAAAGGGAGAAAGTATGGACTCACACGCCATGGACGAATCTCAAAGACATCTTGAGTAAAAGAAGCCAGATGTGAAAGAGTAAATATTGTGTGATTTAATGTATATGAAATTCTAGAACAGGCGAAACTAATCTTTACGGGCAGAAAGCTGGTGGTTGCTTAGGGTTGTCCCTTTGGGGAAGATAAGCCCTGGGAAGGTTGTCTGGAAAAGGGCATATGAGAACTGTCTGAGATGATGGAAATGTTTTATATTTTGACTGCTGTGGTAATTACGCAGGTATATACATTTGTTAAAAAACACACTGAACTGCATACTTAAAATAGGCATGCCTTATTATACGTAAATTATACATTTATAAACTTGGTTGAAAAAATCTCTCCAGATAATTCTGTTCTGCGACCATGGTTGAGAACCACCGATCTGAGGCAACTGGGGGCCACGAAAGGATTTGTGATTCGAAAGATCACAGAGGCATTAGGGTGTAGGATGAAGCATTGTTAGGAAATTAGAAGTTTCCTCCGTGGCAGTGAGTACAGAAAGAAGCAACAGTTGGTAGAGATATTAGGGTCAGACCCAATGATGCTGGAGTTTACATGGGAAATACATGGAAGGAAGAATAAAGAATGACATTCCAGGTTTTGGTCAGGTGGTTTGAGAAATGGTGCTACCCGCAAATTACTGAGTAGAAAGGGAGACACAATCTTCGACAGAAAGAAGCCATTCCGTTAAGGACATTTTGAATTTGAAATTCATGCGAAACGATACAGTGAAAATACATCACGGAACAATCGCAACTGTGGATGTGGACTCTAGGAGACCAGGGGAGAACATTGGTGTGGAGACAGACAGATTTGGTGTTGATTGCAGACTAGTGAGAGCAGAGTAGGTGAGGCTTCCCGTGGCAATGTGAAACACGAGAAGCTATGAGGACTGACAATACACGGAAACACCAACACTGAAGGACGCAGTGGAGAAAGGAGAGTATTCAAAGTAAACCTAAGGAATAGTCAGGTAGGATGAAGGCGAGAGACTGGAAAAACTAGTGACAGGGTGGTTTCAAGGAAGAGACCAACAGTGTCATCTCCTACGGAAAATCGAGTAAGATTAGGACCAGAAAGTGTCTGCTGGATTAAAGGAAGAGGAGATTGGTGTACCAAAGGTCACTACTAATTTCATACAGAGGAAAATCCATATTTTAGTAGTTTGAGAGTGACAGTCAGGACAGTGAGGTCTATGTTTTCAATGTACTTAAAGTCAATGGTGTGTAAGAAGTGGCTTATGCTGGCTTGCGAGAGCCTATTGTTAAATTTTCAGGAATTTTGCAAGCAGTTGTAGAACATAACCATTATTAAAAAGTAAATTACATAAACTTACAATGAAGTCATGTTAAAAACCAACGTAATGAATACTCAAAAATCATTATTGCCTAATTATCTGAATACATTTTATTATTATCTATGCCGTTGAGGCTATTTATATCTCTTGTATCCATATGGTGGAGATACTATGTAACTGCACGCTACTGAACCCCTCTTCCTAACTCTATGCATTCAGCAACAGCATGCGGTGGCTTGAAATTTACCATGATGGGAGTATCACACCTCAGAAATTGGCAAATACCGTGAGGAAGGGTTTGATTTATTGTTTTGTTTGCAGTCCACTCTAGATTTAAAAATGTGGTGGAGAGAGGCACCTGGGTGGCTCAGTTAAGGGTATGACTTTGTTTTTTTAATTTTTTAAATGTTTATTTATTTTTTTTTGAGAGAGAGATAGCACAAGCGGGGGAAGGGGCAGCGAGAGGGGGAGACAGAGAATTCGAAGCAGGTTCCAGGTTCTGAGCTGTCAGCGCAGAGCCCGACGTGGGGCTCGAACCCACAAACTGTGAGATCATGACGTGTGTCGAAGTCTGATGCTTAACTAAGCCATGCAGGTGCCCCTGCAATGAAGTTAAGATTTGAAAGTATGCTGTGTCTATAGCTGTTAATAGTATGAAAATCAAAAAAAAAAAAAAAAAAAAAACAAAGAAAGAAAAGACCTTTTATTCCAGTATTTGTAAATTATTAGCTTATTAGAGGATTCACAAAAGAAGTTGCTCATGTCATGTCATTGAGTTCCTCCATACGTTTGTGTTGTTTCACTCAAATCTTGTTAACTTCCATAAAAATATCAGCTGACATTCACATGGTCACTTGGAAGTCCCCTCTCTTTTAGCTTGTGATGAAAACTATATTTCTTTCCATTCTTCTCCAAAGAGTTATGATTACAAATACCTCACTGCCCTCCATCTTTTATTTTATATTCTCAAAGTGGTTGGGGGGGGGGTTCAAGAATCATGACATTTATTCTATGATATAAAATCCAGGAGATTCTGTCTCACACTTGCTTCAACATACAATATGTCTTGTTCCTTGGGGTGCTTAAACTAGAAACGTAATTTTATACCTTGTTATACTTCGTTTTTCCTTCCATTAGATGGTAAGATCCTGGAGGCTACAGGCCATTTCTTTATCTCCAGTGCCTTGATGTAGAGCTTGGAACATAATATGAATCTTTAATAAGTGGATGAGTGAATGACGGAGGTAGGGATCCATAACTCAAACCGAGATTTGACTCTCTCCAGAGACAGAG